GTTCCACATAGTAAAATTAACAGGCGTTTATTATAGTATGCGTATCAACCAAAATAAATAAACGCCTCCCTCTCGAAATAAACGCCCCCTAAAAACCCTTCTCAACAAACGCCCCAGGGCGTTTATTCGAATAAATACGGTAATAACAATTTATAATATTGGCCATACCAGCCTTGGTCTTCTCATATCTTTTAAATATAATAGCTTAAATTTTGATATCAGCAGGCCTAACCATGGAAGAAATATATTAAGATATAACATATAACAAAATGGTGGTAATTTTTGCATCAAATTTGTTTACATGAAAAATCCATCACACTGCGTTCGTGTTGTATAGGCATCGCAAGATTGCTGTTCATCACCAAAGAATCTTGAAACAAATTTGTGACTCTAAAGGCGTGTATACGATAACAAAATATTTTAACAAATCAAACCAGATGACGTCATAATCATGGAAAAACGATAAAATCGTTGCTACTACTACGATTTTAATGTTTTTCCATGATTATGATGTCATCTGATTTGATTTGTCAAAATATGTTGTTATCGCATAACTGATAAATCGTTATCAAATCGTTCTAGTGTAGAAACTTTTCTTATTTCTTTCATTTTCTATAGGAACAATTGCTTTTTAGCTTTTTTTTTATCATTATCGTTATCGTTGAAGTATAAACAGGCCTTAATAGTAATCGATTTAAGATAGGAAATTTAGGACTTTTTTGTTTTGTTTTTAGGACGAGGCAGTATGTCATTAATAAGAGAAAAAATATTTCCCTCCCTCATTAATAACATGATGCACGTCATTTATTTTTTACCAAACCCTTAAACTTTCTGATAATAAAGAAAACTTCCGTAATAAAATTATATAAGCTCGCAACATAACAGGCCTACCAATCAATCAATCAAATCCAAGGTCTAAATAACCAAAAAAATTGAGGCCTACTAACACATCCCATCCGTTTCAGTACACAACATTAAGCAATTGGAAGAAAGCGTTCTTTCATCCATGCTGGGTAGCGGAGTGCCCGGAAAGATCTATTTTGCCTTGGTGAAACTAAACCCCTGCAAAACAATGGCGTCACGCTCGGGCGCTGACAAGGGCGGAGCGCCAGGGCCCCCATGCACAGGGGCCCTGACATTGTAGTTTAAAAAATATATAATATGGGCCTTAAAACTATAATAACCTAGTTTCACTCAATGGGGCCCGACAATTTTAAACAATAAAAGCTGGGTTCTGATGTTTGGCATTTGTTTCTGATTTTTGATCACTGCTTTGCAA